CTCTGTGAAGGAGCAGGAGGAGCTGATGGCTGTGCATTGGCAGGGGCTAAGGGGCTCCTCTTCACCTGGTGGGCTCGAAGGGGGTCAGCTTGGAGCCAGGCTTCCCCCACCCCTGGAATCTCCTCCAACTGCTCCATTCTCCTGCTGTGGAGGAGCACCTGCACAGAGCCCCCTCCCCAAAATGGGCTGGGGATGCTGAGGATGCAAGAAAACTGCAGAGGAAAGCTGGTTTGTCCCTGCAGGGTGAAGGCTTGGTGGGTCACAAATACTTGGGTTGCTCCAAAGGCTGTTCCAGAATGCAGGAGGATCTCCCAGGTGATCCATAAAATCATTCCTGACAGGGTGAGATCACAGCATGATCACAGCCAAAAACGCTCCCAATACAAGAGGGATTTTTACCTGTGGATCCTTTCTGAGGTTTCCTTTTTTGCCTGCGGATCTTTTCTGTGGTTTTCCATTTTGCCTTTGGATCCTTTCTGAGGTTTTCCATTTTGTCACTTCAAAGTGTCTCTGTCCCACCGCCCACAGGCCACTGAGGTCCAAGCCCAGGGTATCTCCAGGACAGAGGTTTCCCCCAACACCAGAGCTGCTCAGGGGGGACACAATCCCCTGGCATGACCAGTGGAACCTTGCCCTGGCCACAAATACCCAGGAAAAAGGGTTGGTAAGCAGCCTGGAGGCATCACCCTGTACAGGCAGCACATATTTTGGCTGTGCACCTCTGTGCTCCCATCCTCCTCCATGCCTCTTCCTGGCCAAGCCTGGATCCTTCCCTGCTGTTTTTTTAAAGATTTATATGTGATGTAGAGGGGTGATTCCTAGTTCTGGGCCAACCAAAGTTGAAAATCTGGGTTGTAAAGATTTTTCCTTTTTTTTTCTCTGCATGGCATCCGAGTCAGGGCATGGATTGAGGAGGATGAGCCCAGAGATGAACAAGGCTGAATCCTTCAGTAGCTGGGAAGCTGAGTTCAGAGAGCTGGGAAATAGCTGGAAATAAGAGTTTCCAGGGAGATGGTGGTTGGAGCAGAACTGGAGGCAAAACCATTGCTTCTCCCACTGGGGAAACTGGTTTCCAGTCATGGGTCAGTGCCAGTGACTGCCAAGGAATTTGTCCTCAGGGCAGGGAATACCCACATTCCTGCAAGGACAAAGAGGGAATGTGTTTGTAGCACTCAGGTCATTTATTGACTGCAAATTCCAAATTCCCAGGAGTCCAGGCCCATCAGATGGTCACAGATTCAGGTGGCATTTCAGCCCATGCCCATTTCCAGGCAGCCAAATCCCTCCCTGTGGTCCATGGACTGTGTCAGCTGGGTCATTGTGACCTGGACAGGGACTGTCAACCTTGTGTCCTACCCAGAGAGGCCTGGGAGCCATCACAGGGGTGCTCCAGGCTTCCTGCTCTGTGTTCCAGAAGATCTTTCCCAAGGCTTGAGGATTCTCATGCCTCTACTCAGCCACCAATTCTTCCCCAGAGCAGAGGTTGGGCACAATGGAGATGGAGATGATGGAGATGATGGAGATGGATGGGAAAACACGAGCACTTAATCCTGAGCCTGATTTTCCTCCCTGAAAAAAACCTCCCACCCTGAGCCAAGGAGGATGTGGCAAATCCCTAATTCCTGATAAGGACAGAAAAGGCACTTCCAAACAGATCCTTGAACACCTGGTGATTTCAGTGGAAATCTGGCCCTCTTGGTTTGCTGGTTTGCTCCAATGTATCGTTATTAGGCCTGGCCTGATGCTTTGGGACTGGGAATGGGAGCTTTCTTTCCTTCATTTTGGATAATCACCCAAGGAATTATTTTAAACTAAAAGGATGAGAGTTTTAGGCTAAATATTAGGAAGAAAATCTTCCCTGTGAGGGTGCTGAGCACTGGCACAGGGTGCCCAGAGAAGCTGTGGCTGCTCCTGGATCCCTGGAAGTGTCCAAGGCCAGGCTGGACAGGGCTTGGAACAATCTGGGCTGGTGGAAACTGTCCCTGCCCATGGCAGGGGATGGAAATGAGCTGAGCTTTAAGGTCCCTTCCAATCTAAACCATTCCATGACTCTATGATTCCATTATTCCCTGGTCTAGACATTATTTGAAAAACCTGAGAATTCACATTCTCCCCCCAGGCAGCTCAGAGCTGACCCAAATCCCAGAGCCAGGACACCCAGCACACACTCTGGGCTTTCAGCACCCACAGGTGGAGATGCAGGAGCCTCTCCTGATTTATGGAAAGACCTGGCCCATGCACCAGGCCAGCACTGAGAGGCTTTGTCTGCTCTGTGCTGCTACAGGAGCAGACAGCTTATACCAGCAGGGAGGTTTTTTCCAGAATAGGAAACCATCCCTCTGGATGACATAAACCAGAGTCTTTTGGCTTGTTCGTGCTGGCTCAAGCTGAGCAGGCAGATGTCATGGATTGGAGATGGAAAGTGTCCCCAGTGCAGCAGCTGGCATCAACCCAGCTTCTGGGGTCAACCCAGCCTCAGGACCCCCTGTCATCCCCTGTGGCAGCGTGGAGAAGGTCCTCTCCCATCCCCAGCTCTGTGTGGGTATGAAGAGGTTTCACACAGGCTCCAATCCTTCCATTAATGAGCAGGAAGAGCCTCTCCCAACATTTTAACTCCCAGTGGGATGCCCCTGTGCTGGTGACCCCCCAGGTTTGTTTTATCATAGAACCATTTCTCCTTGCACAAACAAACTCTGGGTGTCGTCCTGACATTTTCTTCTGGGAGCTCAGCCACGGAGCCTGCTCAGGGGATTTTATCAGCTTTCCCAGCAGAAAGGTTGGATTTCCTGGCATGGTGCAGTCATGCTCCCCTACCAGCCCCATCCTGCATGTCTGGCTGTGGTCCCTGCGATCCCTGCAGGGCACTCACAACAATCCAAGGCAGCATCTCTCCACAAACACAGGGAAACCCTTGGATGTTCCACACCCGTTGAGTGGCACAGAAAACAGGGTCTTTCCTCTGAAAACTGGGCTGGAAATCTGTGCTATGATGACAGATAGTGGGGAAGAGTTTCAAGCAGAGCCTGGCAGGGAGGTACAGCAGGAATTCTGGTTTCAGTGCCCAGCCTGATGGATGTCAAGCATTACAAGCACAGTCAGTTCACAGCTGAGCTCTGAGCTGGGTTTAGGTCGTTGTGGTGCTCAAATTCAGAACTGTCTTCATCACCAGACCAGGCTGGCCTTGACATAGCCCAGCCAAGGCACTCAGACATCCTGGGATGGAGATGCCACTTCATTCATGGCCTCAAAGCCAGGGTACCCTTATTTAGGTTTTTTCCTGCTCCTTAAGGCTTGGAAAATTATCTTCCCTGTAAACAAATAAATAAAGGAGTCTGAGTGAGGAGAAGAGGGAGGCTCTTGCTCAGACTGGGATGTCTTGTACCAAAAAGCAGCTCCCTAGAGATTTCAAGGAAGAAATCCCAGTGCAGGGAGCTGCTGCCTCTGCTCCCATCCCCATCTCCACCTCTGCCTTGCTGCATGCCTGAGTACATCAATGCTTTCCACCCCTGCTCCCTGGGGAATGTCCTGGGCCATTGGTGCTCCTTCAGACCTCACAGCAGCTGATGTTTTCCTCCTCCTCTGATCAGTGCAAAGAGAACTGAACCAATCCTGCAGGTACAGCCTGAGCACTTCAGAGAGCTTGGGGATCTTGAAATGAAACAGAGAATGGAAATCACCCTGCCAGGGTGATCCTCCTGCAAGGAAAAGGGAGAAGAAAACAGAAGGACATGGCAACAAAGAGTTTGGATTTTGGAAGAGTAGATTTTCCCTTTCTTCAAGAGGAAGAAGGCTTTGGGTGGATGTTCAAAGCTTCAGCCCCAAGACAGAGCGAGGCCATGGTGGCTGGGTAGGGAAGGTTTTTTGAGTGGGTAACCCAACCCTGTGGCCCCAGGCTGGAGGTCACCTCAGCTGGTTGGGTCTGGGTGACACCATGGCCACCCAAAAAGGGCAGAGCAGGGAAGAATAAACCCCAAAAGGGCTGAGACCAAGTCCTGGTGGTTGTGTCCCACGGGGTGTGGGTGCAGCTGGCTGTGCAGGAGCCCTGGCCCCAATGGGTGCTGGCTGAGAGCTGGGGGTCTCTGCTGGCTCTCAGAGGTGATGGAGGGGCTCTGCTGGAGGTGAGCTGGGTGGGCACAGAGGTTCCTGGTTCAGCCCTGAGTTAGAAACAGGAGCTGGGAGTTCAAAAGTTTACGCCCCACCTGGAGCGCAGGTTATCCTGGATTTTCCAAAGCCTCTCCTATCATGATTTATTCATCTGTGGGAAGCACCGAGACAGAACTCAGCTCCCCAAGGGAGCACGAGCACAGCCTCCAGCAGCTGTCTCCTGTGAGATCTGGGCCTGCTGCAGCTCCTGTGCTGGGCAGCTGCCCCAAATCTCACTGCAGGGAAGGGTCCCTGTCCCAGCAGAGCTCCTGAGCCAGCCCAGCCTGATGCCAGAGCAGTGCCAGGGATGGAGAGGGCTCTCTGGCTGAGTGGCTGCTGCCAAGCTGCACACACACCCCACAACCAGCCTGTTCGTCACAATTCTCTGCTTCTGGAGCCTTAGGGCAAAATTAAGAGCTTGAATCTCCGCAGGAATGCATTTTGGTATAATTTACCCTTCCCCGTGCACCCCAGCAGTGCATTTTGCCCTGGTTTAAGTGCACATTAACCCATCTTTGATTATTTTGGCATTATTGCTGTTTTACTGCTCTTGCTGTTATTTGCCCACCAACACCGGCGACTCCTTTGATCCCCAGACATCCTGCCAATAGAAAATTCACTTGAGCAAATGTGTCTGAATTAGGGGTAGCTTTGTGTGGCTTTATTTCCCTGCCTCCACGACTGCAAATAATCCAGAGTAAGTGCTGAGGCTGGATGGCCCCCGATGGGGAGCCTGATTGCTCTCCTGCAGCAGGGCTGGCAGCTGGGAAAGTGGGAAAAGGAGCTCTGGGCCATCCTGTGTCACCAGGGCTCTGCTCTGAACCATCCAGCTCCAGCTTTGGGCCAGGTGGATGCAGCTTGGAGCAGCCTGGGAGAGTGGAAGGTGTCCCTGCTCACAGCAGGGGTTGGAATGAGATGGGGTTTGAGGTCCCTTCCAAACCAAACCATTCTGTGAGCCCATTCATCCCATCCACCCAATTCTCTGCCCTTCTTTCAGAGCCCTTCACAGCCTTTCATTTCAGCCTCACAGCTGGGAAGCATCCCCAGAACAATGGGAAAGTTGAGAAGGATCCCCTGATAGAAAGATCCCAAAATAATTATTTGAGTGAATATGAGCTGTTTTGAGCAATCCGTGTTCAAAAAAAAAAAAAAAAAAAAAAAAAAGCCCAATTTTTCAGACCCCAAAATTCCATTTGAAAAAAGCCCAGATGTTCGAGCCTCAAATCTCTATTTGGACCAAAAAAAGCCCCCAGACCCTAAAATCCTCTTTTGGAAAGCAAACAAACAAACAAAAACCCAAAACAGGCACTCAGACCCCAAATCCCTATTTGAGGAAAATGCAGACCCCAAAATTCCCCTTTAGCCAAAATAAGTTACCTGATCCCAAAATCACCATTTGAGCAAAACCAAGCCATCAGACCCCAAAATTCCCTATCTGAAAAAGAACCCAAACCCCAGCTGTCTGACCCTAATGTCTCTGTTTGAGCAAATTGAATCTGAAATTCCTCATTTGAGAAAAAACAAGTTCTGAGACTCCTTATTTGAGGAAAAAAAAAGTATTAAAACAAGAGATCCCAACAGCCAGATCCCAAAATTCCTGTTGAGCAAAACAAGCTGTCGAACCCTCAAAACTTTCTCTGTACAAAACCAAGCTCTCAGACCCCAAAATTCCCATTTGAATAAAAACAAGCAGTCTGACCCCGAATTCCCTGTTTGAGATAAAACAAGCCTCTGAACCCCAAATCCCTATTTGAGCAAACCCCAAAAACCTTCCAAATCCACAAATCCCTATTTGAGCAAACCCCAAAAACCTTCCAAATCCACAAA